GTTTAAATGAAATAAGATCATTGGCAGCAATGGAATTGCATAAAGATGTTTCACATGAGTCCAGAGTCATAATCGGTTTCCAGTTACTAGTGGTGAAACCCTCCGTAACGCACATGAAATTGATAATTTAAATTAGTGGTTCTCAACCTTTTTAGAGCAAACACCCCCCACACACACACACACACACACACACACACAAAGGGATACTGGGGTTAACTTTTTTCCATCTTTATATATCAACCATTTCTATAAAATATAAAAATATATCCATTAGAAACATTCTAGGAAGCTGACATCTTCTGAAAAAACATTAAATTTGCCCATGTGCTTGTTTAGGGTGAATATGGATAAAGTGGGACAATTTCTGAAATTCCATGTTCCTATTAAGCAGATTTATTATAAGCATAGGAGATTGCTGGATAAGAAAAAACACATATTAAAATTGGTTGTAATAATTAATAGGCCTAATAGTATTGATAGTAGTATGTATTTGTAATAATAATAGAAGGCCTATACATTTTATAATAGTATATTATTGTAATATTAGTAGTACACCATAGTACACCAATTAGTAGTACATAGTACACCAGTGTCACCAAGAAACATTCATCAGCTCCAAAAATCGAACATTTGCGCGTGCCGCTGATTCAGTAACGTCAATGGCATTTAAATAATTCATTTTTGGACAATCTTTAGCGTTAATATGAAAGGCACTGATACCGTCTTTAAAGTCATTTGCGACAAACAACGAACATTAAAGTGCTTTTAACATTTTTATCACACTGTTTGACTTTCAATAACATTTCTGGACCGCGTTAGTGCGGATAACACAAATATTCACGCGATTGTACAAACAATTGAGCGGTCTTCACATTGCATCCACAAAAATCTTTTTTTTTAATTGTGTAGCCTACATTTTGCTCATTGTTGCACAGTAATTATCAAATTGAGAGGGCATACCTATATCACTCAGACAATGCAATAATGAGCAAAATAGGCTACTGTTTAATTGAAAAAAGATTATTGTGGATTGAATGTTAAGAACGTTCAATTGTTTGTGCAATCGCGTGAACATTCGTGTTATCCGCACTAACGCGGTCCAGAAATGCTACGGAAAGTCAAACGGTGCGATAAAAATGTTAAATGCACTTTAATGTTCGTTGATTGTCGCAAATGACGGCGTTTGTGCCTATCATTTTAACGCAAATGAAAGTATTTTTTTATTGTGTGCGGAATGACGCCAAAGAATGTCCAAAAATGAAGGATTAAAATGCCAATGACGTTACTGAATCTGCGGTATGCAGGTTCGAGATGAGAGCCGCCAAAAGCCGCTCTGGGGCTTTCCTGCTCTGGTTACTTCGCCCCTATCCCTACTAACCTCCCCTCGCTTTGCATACAGACCCGCAAACCAGTGAAAGGTCGTAGTGGGGAGGACGAAGTAGTTTCGGAAAGGGCCGCACTGCTGCGCTGAGGTGGATTTGTTTATGGGCGTTAAGCGTTTGCACATTGGACGCGAAACGAATTTTTCGCACGACAGATAACATTCAAAGTCAATGCGAAGACGCGAATACACGCGTATTCGCGTCTTCGCATTGACTTGGAATGTAATCTGTCGTGCGAAAAAATCGTTTCGCGTCCAGTGTGCAAGCAGCTTTACTATGGATTAGTGGCGGGCGGTGGACTGAGAACAGGGAGGGCGATAAATATGTCTTTAAACTGCTTATTAGTCTTGATCTGTTTTCAGTCAATTTCTCAGATAAAAGACACTTTAACTCTCCCCTCTCAGGTGTAGCCAATTGTCTTCGTTAAGAAGAGAAATCAAACGCATCAGTTGAACGCAAAAAAGAGCGCATTTCAATCTTTTTCAATTAAACAATCATTACGCACAGGTTTGACGACTTGCTGAGGACGCGACAAAATTTAACCGGAAAATCCACAATGGTTTTTTCGTGAAGAGTTGCCTATTAAGGCATGTGAATTAAACATTTTATAGAATTTATTGTTTACTCGCCTTAATATTTCATTATAAGGGAAACTAATGTTGACCAAGAATAATGATTGAAATCGGGTCACTAATCTCATCCGTTTCAAGGGATGTTTTCCGCCCTCTCCGTTTTCCGTCCACCGCCCGCCACTGCTATGGGGATCATGACGGTAGCTCCGTAGAGGAGTTAGGTAACCATGTAGATAATTATTAGTTATTTGCTCTTGAAAAGTTTAAAAACATGATTTAAAAAAAGTCAAATTCAAATGATGAACAAGCTAAGTTGTGGTGATTGTTGACGCACCCCTTTCAGCTCACTGCGGTCACCCAGCGCCCCCTGAAGTTGTCCGAACGCCGCTCAGGGCCCCCGTTGAGAAACTTAAATTTAAATGAATGATTGAAAACGGGCTATGACCAATCATTATTCTTATGGCATGGATTAAGCTTCCCCTATCGCCAGATCACCGGCCGCCACTGCTGAAAATGTATTTTTCCTCCTTTAGGAATCCCTGAATTATTTCTTATTTGTTGCACTGACGGCTTCAGATCTTTTGACGTGGACATAATTTCATAGTCCTGATATCCATACATAACCTCCTCTAGCTGCACATTTACTTCCTCATAATACAGTAAATGATAGGAGCAGGAGCAGTATTGAGGAACTATGGAAATAACACTGAGACAAAAAATAATCTGAGAAAGAGTTCCAAAAGAGCTGGACCACTCTTTCAGAAAAAGACAGGGAAAAGGTGGGAGGAGACAAAAGGATAAATATGATGGTAGATAACCTTCTTGATGAAGAATCCCTGGAATGTGACATCACAGCTGGTAATGTGAGGTACACTCAGTGGTAAGATGTTAGCCAATCTCTGAACCTCATGGATCACAGCGTCCGTATAGGGCAGGTTCTTCCGGTCCTCCACTCGAGGTTCCCTGTCCCCAATGACCCGACTCAGCTCCTCCTGAACCTGGGCTACATTCCAACAGAAGCAGAGAAATGAAAGTCTAAACGAAAGTTGCATCACGAGACGTAGGAACACGCAAGCAATTGCATTTAACCAATCGTAACCATCAGTCTTTTATAAAAATGCCCGTAACGTGTTTCCGTTTGCTGTGTGCAGAGATTTGGCATCACCCACCACCTCCCCACCACCACCAGCTTCTGACTCCGGACTCATGAGCATCAAACACATCATTTCCCTGCTGACTAGAGGACCCTTCCTTCCAAACGGGGGATGGCTTCGCCTCTGCCTGCTACGCCGGCAGATTTGCACCCCACCTTACTGAAGGGTCCTCAAGGACGAAGTCATCGCCAAAAGATAATATTGATTTTATTTCATTGTTAATATTGTTTCATTGTTAATATTTTCAATTTTAATTTCAGAGTCTTTATGACGGAAATCAGTAATCAGAAAGCTAAGAAAGGATCTGTTAGGTGTGCTTGTATGAACGAGCATAGCCACCCTGTATGTTGGGGTATTTGGCCATCAGTAGAAGGCTCCATCTCAGGGTGGTTGCGGTGGTATCCGTTCCTGCTGCAAACAGGTTGCTGACCGTATATCTGAGGTTGTCACTGTGGAAGTGGGAACCTGGCCTGTCGGATTCCTGAAAGGTACCAGGTGCAGAAGAACACAGAGACTATAAATGGTAAAATAAGCATAAGCTGAACAAAATTTGTTAAAGATGTATTTCAGCAATCATAACATAACATAACATAACATGAGTGGCGAGAACAGGCCGTTCAGCCCAACTAGGCTCGCCAGTTTCTTTATACTATTGTGAATATATCACTTCAGATATTCAATGACTCAATGGTATCTAGCTTTAAGTCAAGCCTGCTCTTGAAAACCCCCAAGGTCTCTGCCTCAACAATATGGTCAGGCAATCCCTCACCTTCACTTTCCAAATTACTTGGGCAAGTTTCCAAACAAAGCAAGACTCAAATTCAACTTGAACTTGATGATCAAAAAGTGAAACAGGCTTCCATTTTCATGCATGAATTTATCAGCTAACTTCCACTGATTTGCAGCAATTTTGCTAGTGTAGTTGTACCGACATGAAAAACAGTGAATTGATCATGAAATAACATTCCAATCAGCTTTATATCAGTTCTTTTTCAAACATTCTGTTATGTCAATTATTTAGAAAAACATGAAAATGTCCATATTTAAATGGCCAGTAATTTGCATACAGTCTTAACCAGAGCAACTTACACAGTCTGCATTTTTACTCACATCCTTTAAGTCGCAAGTACAGTTCCCAAACCGTTATTCTACAATGCAGTTTTACTTAATGCCCTGATATTTAGCCTACAATCCAACATTTATTTCCTGCTTTGATGCCTGTTTTGAAACTGTTTTGCTTACACCTTTCACTAACGGTGTCAAGCTGTACCTGTTCTCAGAAACCTGGTGAAAACGCTGCACTTTGAGACTGAGTTTTAACAATTAGATGAGCATTTAACTGAATGAGCAATGTTGAAATTTTTATATTGAATTATTGTAAATTGCTTTATATCTTCTCGTTTTTTATTTATTTATGGGTATGGCTGTGATGATAACTGCATGGCCACAATATTGTATGGCGGTCATGTGATGCCTAACACGGGGCTCAGCTAATAACCATCATCACCGCAATATTTATTTTTTATTTCATTTTTTTGCCGATGAAAGTTGTTTAGTCAACTTTTAGTTAATCAGTGTTTTGTCATCATACACTGTTGTCCATCCTATGTTAGAGCTTCCATCCATCCATCCCTCCATCCATCCATTCCCTATACCCACTTTTTCCTCACTAGGGTTGCGGGGGAGCTGGAGCCTATCCCAGCTCCTGAAAAGCGAAATACAGGAACACATCCTGGACAGCTCGCCAATCCATTGCAGAGCACACATACCACTCACTCTCTCCTACAGGCTAATGAAAGACTTCAATTGACCTGACATGCATGTCTTTGGACTGTGGGAGGAAACTAGAGCACCCGGAGGTAACCCATGTAAACACAAGGAGAAAACAGAAAGGCCCCAGACTGGATTTGAACCCATAACCCATGTATTGTGGGATTACAGTGCTACCCACTGCACCACTGCACCAATTACTTCAACCTAGCCAAGGCGGTGGACAGTCATTTAAACACATGGGGGATTTCTTTCATTTGTGTCTAATTGTTTTTTTTTTTTTTTTCTTTTTTTCAGTAATTGTGATATCTAGGGTCTACAATGTCCAAATAAATACATAAAACACAAACATCAAAGACAAAATTATGAAGTAAACTGTTGGAGGTATATTTTCACTGCAAATGCTTACTCTTAAGTGGAAAATGCACATACAGTTGCCTCTTGTCGGTTGACATTATTTGATTCAACAATGTATGCCATGAATCTAGTCCCTAAGCTAAATAAGTTCCCTATCAGAATATTTGGCTTTGAGCAGGAGGATGCAGATCAGCCAGGTAATTTGGTCAAGGCAATATGCTGCCTTCATGGGAGAGCAATCCATTTTGCCAGGAAATATTTCAATAGAAGTCACACTGAAGCCTTTTCCACCCAGGACGAACAAAAAAAAAAAAAACTAAAGGAAAATGCAGTCTCCATTCATTCTGTGCAATGATTCTACTATGACAACTATGAGACAGAAAATCTATTGATCCTGGGAGCAAAAATTGAGCACAGCATTAGTTCAAGCAGGCCACGGAGTCATGCCTATCTTGCAAGCCTGCCTTCATTACTTCACCCCACGGAGTGGGCGTTTTTAGTGGCTCTGTGTGTGTGTTTGTTTGTTTGTTTGTTTGTTTGTCTGTTTGTGTTTCCGCACTAGCCAATATTTACGTGAATGGGTGAAGTCTGCCATCTAGTGGCTCTGCATGTTTGTTTGTGTTTCCGCACTTGCCAATATTTGAGTGAAGGGGGTGAAGTCTGCCATCTCTGATTGCCTTGTTAGTGATGGTACAGATCGTAAGCCACATCAGCTGTCAGCTCAGCTGATTCCCTCCAGGCACTCAATTGGCAAATCTTAAACAAGACGCACTATTTAAAGATGCTTTGCCTTCCTACTATTGCCGCTTTCTCTGCTCAATTTGCAAAATTGTGAATAAAATGTCAGTTTATGAGATTTGCAAATCATTGCATATTGTCTTAATTTACATTTTACACAGCATCCCAACTTTTTTGGAATTGGGGTTATATATCTGGCGAGCCTAGTTGGGCTGAACGGCCTGTTCTCGCCATTCATGTTATGTTATGTTATATCAATAATGTAGTCTCTTTCGAAAATGGCTGTAAGGCGCACTTTTATGCAGACGATACAGGGTTTTATTCTGCTGCTTTTTCATTGGATGAGGCGTTATCTGCCTTGCAGACGTACTTTGATTCCTTTCAGCACTCACTTCTAGAGCTTAAACTAGTTTTAACTGTGGCAAAGACTAAATTTATGATTTTTCTAGATCCCATTCATTGAGAGGAAACATGAATTCAAATTGGATGGCTCAAGTGAGTGCTATTATACAAGTACCTTGGGATATTTTTTAATGAAAGCTTTTTAAATACACATTGGTGAACCGAAAAGGAAGTTATTGGCGTAAAATCAGGTTCTTTTAAAGGATTAGATTGAGTTTCTTACGCGATTACAGGAAGCTTTTAATTCAGTCTACCATCTTACCCGTGCTTGATTAGGGTGATGTTATTTACATGCATGCTGCCGCTACCACCTTGAAGAAGCTTGATACAGTCTATCGTGCTGCACTACGGTTTATTATTGGGCATCATTTGAGAGCCCATCATTGTTCTCTGTGTACGGCTGTGGGTTAGCCATCCCTTTATCTGGGAGAAAGCAGCATTGGCTTACTTTAATTTACCAAGCAATCCTACAAAGGTTTCCAAATTATCTTGCATCCTTCCTCAAATGGCGCTCCTAGCCATCACCAAACCAGGTCTCAGGGCTGGTTGCTTCTCATGGTCCCGCGCGTTAAAATTGAGTTAGAAAAAAACTGATTTTTGCTATTATGCTCCAGGGACATGGAGCAGGTTTCAAGAGCCCTTAAAACTGCATACATTAATCTCCTTACAGAAATTTAAAAGGTGATGAAGGATTTAGAGATTGTGGTCTGTGATTGTTTTGATTAATGTCGAAAAAAAATGCGTTGCTGTGTAATGATTTTTGTTAATTGTCCATATTTTGTGATGTATTTTTCTGCTAACAGGGCACCATTGCAAATGAAAGCGTCTCAGTGGGTTTCCTTGTATAAAGACTAAATAAATAAATAAATAAATAAATAAACACGTTTGCTACCATCAACGTCATTGCATTGCCCCTAGCAGGTGTCATGTTGGCCACAACTTCCTGGTTATTCGAGGTAATTGATGCAAATACTACATTCCATGTACTTGCATGCTGCCTGTGGCAAAAAACGTCTGCTACAGGGGGCTTAGTAGCCTTAAATCTGGTCAGGTGTACGCTGAACCAAATATTCACCGCCTGAAGTCATGGGGAATATTTAACGCTAACAGATCAGCTACTCGGGCAAGTATTGGATTTTTCGCTGCTGCTCTCTCCGACAATGGCTTTTTACATGTATGCATGGAAGGGCAGGGAGTTTTTTGGGTGCCCCCGCCTATTTGCTTTTCATACATGCGCGTGGAAGGGCGGGAGGTTGCCTGTCATGGCAACTCGAGTTTTTTGCCTGGTATGATGGTTTTAACCCTTTCGCAGGCAAATTTTGGCCCAGATGCATACCCCCACGGACGGATTAATTTTGGGTTTTTACCAAAATATGATTGTTATTCAAAACAACAATAAAATAACACCAAATCTCATAATAAGTTTCCCATAACTGATGTTTTTATGTTTTAATCCTCTCCAGAATCGCTAAAATCGTTTGGATCCAAGTCACTCCCGCTCTCTGGATATTCAAACTCATCGTCAGAGTCATTCAATAAAGCAAAAACTTCATCCACGTTGTATTTACGTTTAGAAACACGGCTAGAATGCCGGCTATTTTGTACTGTCGATGCCATGTTCACATGTCCCACAATTTGACCGGGAAGTAGTCTCAGATTTAGCGTTTTAGGAAATCCCATGCCTCGTTCACGGCTAAAAATACAGTGCTGGGTGACCTGAGAGACAGCCAATGGTAATGAGTGTAACTAACAAGGAATTCCGCAATCGGGGAATTTAAAGAAGACTTTATAAAACACGTTGGTTAAAACGACAAAAATGTCGCTGTGCCTGCGAAAGGGTTAAGGGGGGTTCTTGCTGCTGCTCTCTCTGCCTTTGGCTTTTCACATGTATGCATGGTAGGGCTGGAGATTTTTTGAATCTCCCTGCCTTTCGGCTTTTCATGCATGCAGGTGGAAGGGCAGGGAGGTCGCCTGGCATGGCGACTTGGGTTTTGCTTGGGGGCGGGGGGGGGGGGTCTTGCTGCTGCTCTCTCTGCCTTTTGCTTTTCACATGTATGCATGGGAGAGCAGGGTGGATTTTTATTTTGGCTCTCCTTGCTTTGGGCTTTTCACGGATGCAGGTGGAAGGGCAGGGAGGTCGTCTGGTATGGCGACTCAGATTTCTCGCCTGGTATGGTTGTTTTGGGGGGGTTTGCTGTTGCTCTCTCCGCCAACAGTTTTCACACGTTTGCATGGAAGGGCAGGTTTTTGGCTCTCCCTGCCGACTAGCTTTTCATGCATGCGTGCGGTAGGGTGGGGACTGAAATATTAAATTTATTGATTGGGTTGTTTTACCGGCACCCAAAATCTGCACAAATTGAACCAGCTGCAGGAAAAAAGAAATCCGCACATCGAAATAAGAAAGCTTCAGATGATATAAAAGAGTTCAAATTTTTTAATAGCTGCTTTTGGTTTCATCCTTTGTGTGTAAAAGCCCACAGTCTCTTGTATGCAGCATTCCAGAGGTATAGGGCCTAATTAGTTGGCTACATTTTCCCTTTTTACTTTGCACTTGATTACGACATCACATTAAGCTGTATCAGGCAAACCCTAGATATTATCATAATTATTATTATTATTATTATTAAAGCATTATTTTGCCTAAAGTATAGCCTGTCATTTGCAGTTTGAAACATAACCATTATTTATCGGAGACAGCTTTTTTTTAGGCTACCGCAGAGATGTGCCATGTGAAGGCAATATGTTAAGCACAACTCCCTTGGCAAAAGAGTTTGATGACAAGGGAATTTATGTTTAGTAAGCATAATTGCATTCATGAAATGCTGAAGAAATGGTACATATTTATGTCTGCATTGCTAAAATATTCTGAAAGCAGTAGCCTAAATAGTCTTATTACTTTAACCCTTTATCGGGCAAGGAACCATATTTGGTAACTTCAGTCGGCATCCAAAGTGGCGCCCCCATGCCTCTCCGTGAGGCAGTATACCCGCGGCGATTTCTCCCAGCCAATCAGAGAAAATCAGGCAATATCACAGGCAGTGACATCAGGGTGTTCGACCAATCAGCAGTGGCCTATAGCGTCTCAAACTTCTTTTCTTCTGCAGACCTCTCACAGTGCGGTTGTGTGCCCTTACCCCGTCCCACTCACAAGGACCTAACATCATTACTCACGAAAGAAAACTGATGAAAACTCACACATTAAAATGCTGAAATGGTTTGCTAGAAGTTGAGATAGGTGTTGTTTTTGTAGGATTTCTAGAAACTAGTGAGATTTTGCGTGAAAAACAAAAAATTTGGTAGTGAGGCCATATTTGATCATACGCCCTTTTCACCTAAGTTTACAGCACGTGATGGCTATACTATTTATGGACATACGCCCAACGCACAGTGCTTTTTTACAGTCAGCTTCTTAGGGTATTTTTTAGTGCCCTATAAAGGGTTAAACTCGACTTCGATAGATGGTATGCAGAGAAAAATTAATTTCTAATTCATTCTGATTAAGATGATTTCTGTCAATACAATCTCATATTGTAGCCAAGTTACATCTTTGTCATCATCATGTCTTAATATGTGGCAAGGTATTACCTACAATTTACCATTCACAAAATTAATTCTGAGATTATTTCTTAGGAACAGGACGAGAAAAATATGCATTCAAAGGTGAAGTTGCCGTATATCTGGGCTACACTTCTTGGTTT